AGAGGGCCTTTCCAACCTGATTTTTTTTTCCATGGTTCTGTTTTGCTCTGCCAGGATCCTGGAGGTTGTTATGAGTTGAATTTTCACACAAAGAAATAAATTTGGCAACTCCTTCACTCATGATAAAACCCAAGTAAAGGGAAGAATGAATCAGTGGCTGTTCCTATAATGCAGCTCACGTAAAAGCTGCGGAAGTTTTGTCCCTTACCGAGTGTTTCTGTCATGATGAAATGCAATGAGATTTATGGATTGTTACCAGATTTAGTCCAAAATGCTGCACCAAAATCAGAGCTTATTGCAGTCTGTTTGTAACTGCCTGTTTATGCAGCCTCTGGTTTTGAGACCTGCTTGTCCTGCAAGCAGAGGGGTTTCGAGGGTCTCAGCTAAACCTGACGCTCACTGAGCTTAAAGCAAACGGGCTGTGACTCCACTGAGGTCCAAACTATTGAAAGCAGTAGCTCCAAGACTTGCTTCTATTCTGAAACCTCACTAAAGAGGAAGGGTCTGCATCAGAAGGCCCCAGGGTCGGGTGTTTTGAAGAAAACCTCAAATAATTTTCCATGTAGGACAGAGCCAGCATTCCTAAATTGTGTTCGAGTTCATTGGTAATTTCAGGTCTGTTTGTGTCTGACTCTTACTTCTCTTTAACCCATTTACTAAAGAAGAATGAAGCATAAAGGTAATAACAGGATGCTAAGATTTTATTAGCCAAATATTCTCATAATGGTGATTTAGTAATGCTGAAAAAATCAAAGCATGGGTAATAAGGAAGATGTGAATTTAACATCCAGATTTCCTGCTTCTGGTGCAGGGCAAGACCGCCTTCAACGTCACTCGCTGTCCAGTTAGTATATTGAGCATTAATATATTTTAATTCTTTTATATTCGGTGATTATTGAAATACTGCTAAACCCAATTTCTCCTATTCTGTGAGCCCAAGTCCATCTGACCATTCCTGACCTGTCATCTGCTCTGGCAGCAAACTCTGGGTGGGGGCACAAGGTCCTTTTGAGCAGTGACAGACTTGATTCATCCTGCTGCTTTTGAAGTCTGGGTGCTTCTCCTTCCCATCCACCTTGCCTGTTCTTCCAAAAAACGGACGGAGCCCCAGAGCAAACACAAAATTTGGCTCTGGCAGAGAAACAGGAACCTCCTTTTCCAGGTCTTCAAAGGGAAGAAGGAAAGAAAACTGGCTTTTTTTTTTCTCTCTCTTCTTTTCCAAGCTCTGCTCCTTCTTTTGGCAGCCTCCAATACAGCTGAGCAGGACACAAGGGGTAAGAGAAGGGGCCAGGTCTTCAGCTCTGTGGTGCTTTGGGCCCCCCCTGCACATGGGGGAGATGAGCCCAGGTGAAGAGACCTGAGAACAATAATAATTCAGAGGGAAAACAAGGCAGAATTTTATTTACGAGCACACCCATTCATCAAAAATGTTTTATTTTAACAAAAGATGCTTAAACATACTTGTATGCTCAGAACATTTTGTGCCCATTTGGAACTACCAGTCCTCAAAGCACCTTTTGATAGGGCCTGATCTGTGCACTATGATTTTGGTTCAACTTTATTTCAGAGTATTTTATGGCTTGAAGAGAGTATAAAATTTGCACAACATAAAACCCAATGCTTAGGCTAGTCTAGGTTTTCTGGATGCTCTGAATGTGGAAACTTTACAGCACCAAAGTTACTAACCAGGATTCAGAAAACAGGCAGGGCACCTTAGAGTTCCAGTAGTACAGAAAGACAACTGAGAAATACAACTGGAGTATATTTATACACATTCCTGCCATCCTCGTTGAGGCACAGTGTGTGTGTGGGCTGTGTCATGAAATACTGACTGCTTTTGGCACCAAGGGCTCCGGTCCCCTCGCAGGGCTGGTGTCACTTCGCTTAACGCTCCCTTGCCGAGTAAAAGCCACTGTGTGTCCAGGTCACAGGCCCCACAGGACCCGAGCTGGCACTCTGTGGCATGGGAGATACTTGAATTTAAACTTGCCAGGGTGTAAGTTAGTGCTCGCTGCAGCATTTTCCTTATATCAGCATGCAGAAATGCAGTGAGGTGTTTATTCTGCAGGGCTGGTTTGTGGGGGACAACTGAAGGCCAAGATCAGTCTCCTGGAGTTATCTGTGCTGCCCATGCAGCCTGGAGCAGGAGTCTGGGCTTCGGATGCTCCCTGGCTCTCTGCTGGGCAGGGAAATGTCCTTCCCTACCCCTAAGAGCTCATGCAAGAAAGCAAGAAACTGCCTTCTGCAAAGCAGCAGAAGGAAACCTTTCTGTGAAAGAGCGTTGTATCTAGAACAGAAAAAAACGCATTTTAGTTATTCATTGCGATTCCATTTCATGCTCCTGTTTTTCTTTAATGTGATTAGGAGAGAGAAAGGGAGCAGACAGCAGCGGAGCTGAGCTTAGTCGTGGCGAGCAGAGCAGCGAGGGAGGTTGAGAGGAGGTGTTTGGAG